TTACTGGAGCCCTGGTGGTGCAGTGGTTGAGAGCTCAGCTGCTAAACAAAAGGTCATCAGTTCAAATCCACCAGCTGCTCCTTGGAAATCTTATGGGGCAGTTCTACTCTGTCCTATCGGGTCACTATGAGTCAGAATCAACTCGATGGCAACAGATTTAGTTTGGTTTGATGAGGCTTATGATCAATAAAGACTACAATTTCTATATATATATGTAAAGTGCCTTTTAACATAACCATTATTCTTACTAACAATAACAACAAATGTTGACTATAATGCACTATATCTGGCATTTGTTTAAAAATTATTTCATATTTACAGCAATATGGAGGAAAAAATAACCTGAAAATCTGCCTACTGCACAATACCTAGTAAAGCTGAATAAAGTATAACAAACACCTCGTTCATAGGCAGAACTGAGATTTTAAAAGAGAAAGATAAATCCCCAGGGGTCAAAAAATAAAGAGGAAACTAAGCAGTGAGCTGATGTTGGACTGCTCTGGGGAGGTTTGCTGGTTTGAGCAATCAGAGGACTTGCTTTTTACAGCCATGGTGGGGTGGGAGATGAGGCTTTGAGCCCTGGAGAGACCGACAGCTGAAACTCAAATACCGCTGCATAAAGCTGTTAGGACCTCAGAGGAACAATACTGCCAGTTAAAAAAAAAAAAAAAAAATCAATCCAAAAGTACAGAGAGACAACAAGAAAGCTTAGGTTAAAAAAAAAAGAAAAAGTCTCCATAAGAATCTGAAACCCTGGCCTGTGTGAAGTCTAAATTTATTCTACTTGTGTAAAGTCTACACTACCTGTGTGGTCCTAGAATCTCCAGCACAGAAATTAAAACAGTTGCAGACCGATAATATTCCTCAGTGATTAGCAGAAACAAAGACAATCCTCCCTTCCTCTGGAGTAATACTAATTATCTCATTTAATTCTCACAACTGTCCTGTGAAACAGATACAGTATCCCAGCTTAGAAAAGAAATTAAGGATAGGGAGGTTAACCAACTCATCCAAATTCACCCAGCTATTACCTGACAGAGCTGGGATTTGAACCTGGCTGTTGTTCATTCAAGGAGCCCTTGTGGTGCAGTGGTTAAAGCAACTGGCTGCTAACCAAAAGGTCAGTGGTTCCAATCTACACAGTGGCTCCTCGAGAGAAAAATGTGGCAGCCTGCTTCCGTAAAGATTTATATAGCCTTGGAAACCCTATGGGGTAGTTCTGCTCTGTCCTATAGGGTCACTTTGAGTCAGAATCAGCTTGATGGCAATGCGTTGCGTTGTTTTGTTTTTCCTTTTCATCAGGCTACCTGAGCTACTGGGGCATAAGGTAATGCCCAATGGGTCCTGGTTACTAGAATTAATTTTATTAGTATAAATATACAGTAGAAGTTCAAACAGAAAATATTTACTTTAAAGGTTAAATAGTAAGGACAATGAAGCTATTGTGATGAACAAAACATGTGAAATCGAAAGTTAAGGATGACAACTGCAGTCCTATCAGGCTCAACCTCCAATGTATTTCTGAATGTTATATGGGTTGCATAGCAGTGAGAAAATCTTGATTTACAAACATAAGCAACTGCAAATGATAGCCTTTTTTAAAAATTAACATATATTCTTAGAAATTTAATATTTTGATCATCGTGTGTGTGTGTGTGTGTGTGTGTGTGTGTGTGTGTGCTTTACAAAAATAGTTCTAAATATTTTTTTAAAATCAAATGAATCTCTGAAGCACCTCCCTAGGGTTCTCGTAGAACTCAGTTCAGGAACAACCAGACAAGTTCTCTGAGATCCCTCCAGTTCTCATTCTAGGATTCTACACAGCATTGTAGTTGTTGTTAATTGCCATCAAGTTGGTTCTGACTCCTGGCGATCTCATGTGTGCAGAGTACAACTGCCCCACAGGGTTTTCAAGGCTGTGACCTTCTGGAAGCAGATCACCAGGCCTGTCTTCTTAAGAGCCTCTGGGTGGGATGCAATAGCCAACCTTTCGGCTACTAGTCAGTGCTTAACTGCTTGCACCACCCAGGGACTCTTCTTCCACTCTTTACGCCAGTTAATCTCAAGTACTGACCATACCCTGACTGTACTGTCTTACCTCCATGTGTTTGTTTACACTGTTGCCTTCATTCTGGATTTAAACTCAGTAAATATTCTTGAAGAGTCATGTGTCAAGCACTATGCTAGACAACTACATACATTTTTTTTAATTCACTTCCATTGCCACAATCCTACCCACTCTTAGTTATCTGTAACTAATAAAACCATCATTAAGCACTTACTTTGTGCCAGGTATTAAATGCTGAGTACCTTATACTAGCTTATTTAATCCTTACAGCAGCTCTGTGAAATAGGGTAATACTATAATCCTCATTTTATACATAAAAACACCACAGCTTTGGATTAAAATATTTGCCTAAGGTCAAGTAAGCAAGAGAATGCTTCTTGGAAAAGTGCTACTTGAGCTCAGAGCTGAGTTCTTAAAAAATAAGGTAAAGTTGTCAGGGGACAGAGGCATCCCAGAGAGACGAACCACATAAGTAAAAGCAGAGAAGTAGGAAATAGTTTAGTATATAGTTCAGGAAAAAGATCAGCCTTCAGAATCAGGAGGGCTGGGTTCAAACATTTATTTTCGTTTTGTTCTGTGGCATCTTACTCTAAGTACGGTTTTCTCGTCCATGAAATGGTGATAATAAGTGCACCTTGTAGAACTGCTTTAGGGTTAAAGTAAAATAAAGTATGTGAACGTGCCTAGCACAAGGCCAAGCCCATGGTCCTGCACCATCCTCACAACCATCATTGTGCTTAAGCCCACTGCTGCAGCCGCTGTGTCAATCCATCTCCTTGAGAGTCTTCCTCTTTTTCGCTGACCCTCTACTTCACCAACCATGATGTACTTCTCCAGGGACTGATCCCTCCTGATAACATGTCCAAAGTATATGAGACGCAGTCTTGCCATCCTTGCTTCTAAGGAGCATTCTGCTTGTACTTCTTCCAAGATAGATTTGTTCATTCTTCTGGCAGTCCATGGTATATTCAATATTCTTTGCCAACACCACAATTCAAAGGCATCAATTCTTCGGTCTTCCTTATTCATTATCCAACTTTTGCATGCATATGAGGCAGTTGAAAATACCATGGCTTGGGTCAGATGCACCTTAGTCTTCAAGGTGACAACTCTGTTTTTAACACTTTAAAGAGGTCTTTTGCAGCAGATTTTCCCAAGCAATGCATCTTTTGATTTCATGACTGCTGCTTCCATGGGTGTTGACTGTGGATCAAAATAAAATGACATCCTTAACAACTTCAATCTTTTATCTGTTGATCATGATGTTGCTTATTGGTCCAGTTGTGAGGATTTTTGTCTTCTTTATGTTGAGGTGTAATCCATACTGAAGGCTGTAGTCTTTGATTTTCATCAGTCACTGCTTCAAGTCCTCTTCACTTTCAGCAAGCAAGGTTGTGTCATCTGCATAACGCAGGTTGTTAATGCATCTTCCTCTAATCTTGATGTTCCATTCTTCTTCACAGAGTCCAGCTTCTCAGATTATTTGCTCAGCATACAGACTGAATAGGTATGGTGAAAGGATGCAACCCTGATGCACACCTTTCCTGACTTTAAACCACGCAGAATCCCCTTGTTCTGTTTGAACAACTGCCTCTTGATCTACGTACAGGTTCTTCATGTGCGCAATTAAGTGTTCTGGAATTCCCATCCTTCACAATGTTATCCAAAATTTGTTATGATCCACACAGTCGAATGCCTCTGCAGAGTCAATAAAACACAGGTAAACATCTTTCTGGTATTCTCTGTTTTCAGCCAGGATCCATCTGATATCAGCAATGATATCCTTGGTTTCATGTCTTCTTCTGAATCCAGCTTGAATTTCTGGCAGTGCCCTGTCAAAATACTGCTGCAGCAGCTTTTGAATGATCTTCAGCAAAATTTTACTTGCGTGTGATATTAATGATATTGTTCGATAATTTCCACATTCAGTTTGATCACCTTTCTTGGGAATAGGCATAAATATGGATCTCTTCCAGTCGGTTGGCCAAGTAGTTGTCTTCCAAATTTCTTGGCATAGATGAGTGAGCACTTCCAGTACTGCATCTGTTTGCTGAAACATCTCAGTTGGTATTCTGTCAATTCCTGAAGGCTTGTTTTTCACCAATGTCTTCAGTGCAGCTTGGACTTCTTCCTTCAGTACCATTAGCTCCTGATCATATGCTACCTCCTGAAATGGTTGAACACTGACCAATTCTTTTAGGCATAGTGATTCTGTGTATTCCTTCCGTCTTCTTTTGATGCTTCCTGCATCGTTTACTATTTTCCCCGTAGAATCCTTCAATATTGCAACTCGAGGCTTGAATTTTTTCTTCAGTTCTTTCAGCTTGAGAAATGCTGAGTGTGTTCTTCAGACCATCAACTGCTCATATACAAGTTCAAGCTGAAGCTGAAGAAAATTAGAACAAATCCACAAGAGCCAAAATACGACCTTGAG